AAAGTGCTGCCTGGTTGCCTGTGGGGAAAAAAAATGCATACTTGTTTTGTTATTTTGGTTAGTCTTTATAAAGGTATTACTTGACTATGGATTGAAGGTATTTTTTCTCATGAAAAATGCTTTCTTTTTTAGATAAAACAAGAGTTGTGAATGTGGAGGTAAGAATTCTGTAGGCTAGAAAGCATAGAAATTAGGTTTGCCTTTGTCATACTCAAAATAATAATACAGTCTCCTGAATATCTGTTCAGATATCCAATTTAATTTGGTGGCAAATGACATTGTAACTCTAAATTTCTTGTCTGGAATGAACAATTTATGGATTATATGTTGTGCTTATTACTATTGAGTTTGAAATTCAAGGCTTTTACACTGGAATAGCTGTTCGGTCTATAACTTAAAACATCTTTGTCAGAGCTAAGGTTACTGTGGAGACTATAACTTCTAATTATGGCTAATTAACCAGAACAGCTTACAGGAGTATTGTTGTACTTAAATTGGCAGCTAGAAATAACCTACTACACCTGCATATGTCAGTCTGTCTGGTTTACTGTAGTTTAATGATTATTTTCTAGATTTGTTTGAAATGTTTCACAGAAACTAACACCACAGTAGTTAGTAGAGAATGGATCCACAGACCTGGTCCTCCACTGGCATGTTAATTATCTGATGGCTAGCTGTCACTTTCAGTGACCATGATCAAGATGAAGTCTAAGAGCACCTGTAAAAATAGAGCTTATCTAGGTACTCTGTCTCCGGTTTCCTTAGGTTATATCTCCCCATGGTCATGCAAGCAATGAAAAAGGGACAGAACTGGTGCAGGTGGCTGAATCTCCTCTGAGTTTGTCCATAGTGATTCTGACTCTGTCATACCATTGATTTTTAGTTTTTTTCCTACTCCTAAGAGACAAACAATAAAAAGGCAAGAAGTGAGGAAAGGGACAGGGAACAATCATCCACTGTGGTTGTTCAGAGAACTAAAAATATTGCTGTTGACCAACCCAGCCCATGTTTAGATGGGTGAATTGACTGGGAAGGAGATCATCAGGTCAGTTGTGTCGTGTATGGTCTGTATGACAGGAGAGATGGAACAGTTTGATGGGCATTTTTTATGTGTTTTATAGTTTCCTAGCGCAACTGATGAACCATATTTCTTCAGTAGCTCCATCTTGTGATTCACCAATGTAATCTATTTGTATTCATTTAGGAAATGTAAAAATGGATGTATTAAAGCTTTTTCCTCATCAATTAAGTTTGGAAAAATCTCAGGGAGCCATTCTAAAATACAATACATCTTTGTTATAGATGGTCATTCCATGTTATCTCCTGTCTCATTCCTTCAGATGGGTTTCCCCAACTGTGTGTTTTCAGATGTGTTGAGACTAACTCCTAGTATTTCTAGGAAGTATGGCTAAAAGCCAAAGACCATGCTGACTAGGAAATCTGGAAGATGCAGTCTCAATGCATATATACACACACACTCACCCATCTTACACAAGTGACTCTGGGTGGCTTACAAATTAAAAACAAACCCTCGAAATATACTCCCCCCCCATGGCCAAGGATAAACTCATAATAGGGCACAAATTTAGGAAGGGTTGAATTAGTGGGTGAAGACTCTTTTTCAATCTAAGTAGGTTGCCAAAATTCAGGCCTATCAACCTATTATAACAATTTGTCCAGATTGTATAGTTGAATATATTCAATTCCATTGCTCTTTGATTAAGAATTTTTGCCTTCTAGTTTACTGAACGCTGGAGCAACAGTTTTCTGATTGATAGATATCCTGGAGAATGTTTTGGTTTCTTTAAAGACCTTTGAGACATTCATGTTTTTAGGATGTCTGGCTTTTATTTACACTACCATTTATGACCCAAATGCCTGTGGTGCTTTTTTGAACATGTTCAGTCCTACCGTATTATTGCTTCCAGACTACCATATTTATAGTAAAGAATTTAATATTCTGAAAAATTATATTTTCTAAGGCGCACTCACTTTTAATGGTAGTATTGCATTTTCAAGATACCAGTGTGACTGGAATGGATATTTCTTAATGCTCTTTCAATGAGAAATCTCCATTCCCACATCTCTGGGAAAATGGGGTGCTAACTGGGTAGTAAAGTAAGGTGTATGTTCTCATATATCTGTGAGTTCATAGTGGGTGGGATTGAATTATGTCATTAGCATGTAACTAGATTTGAATTTTGGTACTGGGTTTGATTAAAAACTGCAATGTGATTTTTTTTTTAAAAGCTTGATTTTCCTAGTGTTGATCGTTGATTTAAGAATGATTGGGTTGCCATTAATTGTTTGCAATAATGAGTAACATTCAATCTAAAGATCTTGAGCTTTTCTAAGGTTAGATAAATGGAAAGCTTCAAATATGACCTGCTGTAGATCAGTTAACCTGTCAATCTACATAGAAACAAATTTTGTACTAGAGCATGCTATATATGTCAAGTGAGGGCATGTTGATCTATACTGGACTTTACTTTGTAGGGTAAATAAAATTAGCGTGCCTTTTATTTCTAGTCAACAATTGTAATAACGGTGATGACAGTTTCAGTGGAAGTCTTTCTAAATTCAGTAGGATGCACAATACTTGCAGTTTATAGGTTGTGTAGGTCTACAGCCATTCTGCTCAAACTTTTTATAAATTAGACTTAAAATGAGTTAAAAATACTATTTTGTGACAGGCAGGGAAGGATACTAAAGTGTTGTTTGCACAAAATTGAAATGCTGTCTTTTTAGTTTTAAAATGCTTCATAGTTATATGACCAGGAAGTATAACCAATCTGCTTAAAACAGATGTAGATAGTCTTATTTTCATTTTGTAAAAAATGCAGATTCTGTATCTCATAGTAAAGCTTGATGTGACATTTGGGCACTCAGAAATACACACACGTACAAAACAATGCTATTTTATCTTCTTCCCAGATCAAGAGTTGTGGTGAACCTTAAATAAACACATTGGTGAGCAGAGATTAGTGCCAGAATATATAATGATTTCTGACATTCTAAGTTTCATTGACACTTGGTAGAAAGCAAAAAGTGAATTGAGAAGAATATTAAATTGAAAGCATTTAGTATCTGTTTATGAATATGCTAAAGTATCCATATGGTTACAAAATTAAGCTTGAGACAAATGCATGCGCTTCCTTGAAACTGATAGAAGAGGACCGTAGAAAGCATTAAAAAGGAGTGCTTTTCACACAAGAGCAGAGAAACACAAACAGCAAGGCCCATTAAGACTTGTAAAAGCTGATCTTATTAACCACTCAATTACCTTAATGGCACCACAAACAAAGAATTCCGCTGAAACTATTATTTTTTAAAATGTATTAAGAGAAATTACTAAAAACCGATACCCAAAAACATAAGGCATGCTTTACAAAGCGGCCATGATGGCTTTGTTGAAAACTCCAGGGTTTTGTTATTTTATTGCTTTTGTTTGTTTCATCCTGTTTTGTAATGAATAATTTACTCAAGATACTGAAATAACATAACCAGCAGGGTTTGGGCATGATTTAAATGCTTAGCACATCCTGGGTAAAATAAAAAAGCATGTACAGTGTTGTCATTTGTGACTGTATGACACAAATCTTGTTAAACAGGGTAAATGTTGAGAATAACATTGGTAGATTGCTTTATGTTGAATATTAAATTATTGGGCTCATGCACAGTTACATGCATTGTTTCCTGCAATATTTTGAGTTTTGTAATGTTAGACTGTAAATGTTTTATTTTTTTTAATTTGTAAGTAATATATTCTTGCTAGGATCGTAGTTTTTGAGAGGTTTCTGATAACTATTTAAATAATAGAAGTCATGCAAAATTTTATGTTGGAGCAGCTCACTGGTAGTATCTTTCATAGTTAATGAGCAACTTGATTTTTCATAAATTACTCTGAATTTGAGATAAAGAAAATAGAATGCCACCTAGGCTATCTAGGCTACTGTCTTCCTTGACAACAGTCTAAACCCCTTTTGTGAACTTCACATTGGCATTGTTTGTAGTCTGCTGGATATTTAGTATTTTGTGTGTATAGCACATTGTGCATTTAGCATGTCAGTTTTCCAGAAGGTGCGCATGATTCCTCTCTGTTTTAAGTGGCGTCTTGCAATGGATTTTCTTCTCTGTACCTAATGTGGGCTTGTTCTATTTCGCTATCCATGCATGGTGGCATGATCATTACAGCATCGTTTAATTTCTTCAAGAGGGCATTCAAGATGCTCTTGGAAGCTTGTGAGTATCATTTGGATGTTATTAGTGAAAAACCCTGCATTGCTGAAAGCTGCCTCAGGCTACTTGGATCACAGCAGACAACAAATTAACATGGTCAGGTGTGCTAATTAAAAATATCCCCTGAATACGTAAATCGAATGAAACACAGTCATTAGTGCTGCTCTTAAAACAGTGACTTAATACTCTCTGTCAGCAGCACGGAAGCCCATGTTTTATTGGAAATTTCAATCCTAATTCAGTAATATATGAATACTAATTAAATTGTTGACAATAAGCTAATATTAACAATCAAGTATTTTCTTTGTAGGCTGAAGACACTGAGGTTGCTACATCGTTTTTTTCTGAAGATAATAATAAAATAGTAGAAAATTTTCTATTAAAACAATATATAGCATTTTCAGTAGTCAAGTAGTTTGGACCAGTATATTGCTTTGTATGCTGCTGAGTTTACATAATTAATAAATATTACCTGACCTTTTTTGCTTTCATTTTTAGGCCCTGGATGTTGACCGAACTGTTCTTTATAAGATGAAGAAATCTGTAAAAGCCATAAATGTTTCTGGTTTGGGTATGTAAAGTTTGCTTATTGATGGTCTATATTTCTAAAATACACATTGAAATATACAGTGCTTATCAAATATTCACTGGTTACCATCTAAGAAAAAGCCATAGACAATATGCCATATATAGACATGATGCAGATTCTGGTCAGGTCAACGATAGTTACAAAGGAGTGCTCATTCCTTCTTTTGAGACCCTTTTCCTTCCTGGTGCTAATGATTTCTTGTTAAATGTTAATTGAAGTTAACTAAATTTAACAAAAGCTACACTTCCCTTTTAAGTCAGAAATCGAAAATATGGTCGAACATAGATTTTTAAGAGTAATTTTTGCTTTAATAGTTAGTAAGATGAAACCATAGTTAATATTGATAGGGAAGAGAATAATTCTGGAGTGAGGAAAGATAGGAATTGTTTTATTCAGATGCAGGAATAAATCTTGATTCCTCATTATGTGATCAGTTGGTTCATAAGCAGACCTCCCCCAATGAGATTTTCACTTCTGTTTTTGAATAGCCACTGTTTATAGCGTTACTATGTTCCCTGTAAGGCATGCACACGCATACACAACTCAGGAAAAGTCAAGCACATGCAAAAGGAAATCATCATCATCATCATCATCATCACCCATCACCATAAAACTCTGGACTCGCAAGTTCACCTCCGCCTCATGAGCTCCCGCTCAGTCTGTGGCATGGGTCATGGGTTTTTTGCCCAGGACAACAAGCAGGCAGTCCTTTTCTAGCCTTGCAGTTGTAGCTGACCTGTTCTGGACCCTAGAGCCCCCTGGCATGAAGGAGCATTTCCCACTAAAAAGATTTGATTCATTTCCCTTCTCCTTTCAAAAAAGGTTTATTGCTTTCTCCTTCTCTCCAAAGAAGTTTTCATTCCCTCCCCCCCTCAAAAAAGGTT